TTTAAATCTTATAGCAGCCTAAGCAATAACACACCTTACTTAACAAATTGTATCCACAGGAAAAAAAAACAAGATCAAAAGTAAGGGCTATCAGTTTTATAGCTTGTACCCATGTCGACATCAATCTCAAAGGACCAGTTCACCGATTTGTCGCTGTTACTTAAAGGCTCTTTGGATTCGCAACGCTCGTGGGCATCGTATCGATTAGTATCGGCATGTGGAGCCAGGCTCCTAATAGAAAACATCTGTATCGTAGTGTCGGTGTCCCGAATCTCGCTTCGCTTGGTCGAATGGACGCTACGCAATGTAGCCTGAGATGGTTGTCGTCTTTTTAAAGCGTTGAAATATCTCATGTAAGTACTTTTGAAGGCTCGATTCCTTTAAAACAATAACATTGGTGTTAAAGTGAATCTTCATTGCTATTCTTTCTACCTACATTGTTTTCTTGGACTGATATCCAGGCGTGTGTGCTTTGCCTGCAGCCCCAAGCTGGAAGTGTCTTTAGACAAAATTCCTAAAGAAATCTTATGAATATTTTAACCAAATATATTGCTTGTGATTATAGGACCCTTATTGATAAGTCTATATGAATTTCGTGCCTTTTCCACCAGTGTTCCATTTTTTCCACCAGTGTTCCATTTTTCATCCAACTAGGCCTTTAATGTTGTTAACATAACAGGAAGAGCACAATCCTGGATCCGCCCCTGACTATCAGTGTCCAAAAAAACCCAATGTAGGTAAAAAGAATAGCAATGAAGATGTTGATTGCAACGGTGTAACGATACAATAACAATACCTATGGTGAAAATCGCTTTTTATTTATGCAGTAAAATATAGGGGTAGTAATGGTGATAACAACACGATGTCGATAGGAAAGTAATTGATTCAGCGTTAACGCTCATAAYGACGGAATCTACTGCATCATTTCCTAAAAACGTAACTTCTTATACATGCGACGACAGGAGCAGCCACAAGGAGTCTTTCCCTCATGACGTCATGTGTGTTTAGCCGAAGTGCATCATGATATTGACGAAATTATCAAGATGGCGGATGTCATAAAAGGCTGCGGAAGACAAAGTTTTGTAGTGAATCAAGGTGGTTGACAAAAATACTAAAAAAAACTCTTAAGATAAAGTAGGATGGACACTATACTATTGTTATAATGGCAGGCAGTAGTTTACTTAAAGTCTGCTGTTCGCAAACTAGCCCGACTTTCGGACAAAATGGCTTCCGTCAATCCCACATTGCACTTCGAACATCGCTTGACGTCATAAGGGGAAAGTACCACTGACCGCTAAATAACGCAGGATCAGAAATCAGTTATACCTGAATGAAAACAGAAAAGGGTTGAGTGCAGAGTTCAGGTATCCCAGCATAAGAAGCGGCGGGTAAACGTGAGGTGGGATGGCATGATAATGCTCCTCTGATAACATGTTAGAGACGATGGATATTGTGCTGTATGGAATCCAACAGAACATGAACGCGCACACAAACATCGAGATGGTCTTCGCTGCACGRATGTTCCTCTGGTAATCTTTCTGCTGTCTTACACATGGCCCTGCGCTGAATTTAAGCTGCTTTAGAGGCTGTAGCTTTGCAATCTGGTAGATCTTGATGTAGATGCAGCATGTGGCTAGTATCGGAAGAACAAAGTTCACCAACGAACTCAATGAGTTGTACAACGGTGGAGCTGGAAAATAGCACGCATTGCCTTTTACAAACGGTAACTTGTTGATTACTTCTGCTACAGGTAGAATCGCTATTGTGAAGCAATACARCCATATCACWAYGATSACRATGATCGCCCTCTTGCGGGTCATAAAGCGCGATCTTCTGAATCTATTCAAAGGATCACTCAATGTTTTATATCGATCCACGCTGAGCGCTAATAGGGTGAAGATTGAGGTWGGTACGGTGAGAAGGTAAGCTACTGTCCACGCTTTRCAAACCGCGACACCGTGKTTCCATATACCCGACGTAATCAAGATATCTGCATCAAATGGCATGGCTAACGAAGCAGTGATCAAGTCCGAGATTCCAAGTGATAAAATGAATAGTTTAGTCGGTGATCGTCGAAGTTTGGTCGACAGTGCAATACTACTGCACACTAAGAGATTGCCAAATATRGCAATAATRATGACCAAGATGTACAGTCCYGCAAAGACGTAGCCGTAAACAGGCTCGAAGCTCCGGAGGTGCTCGAAAGTTTGATTTGTTCCATTACTAGCCATATTTGACTTGGAATTTCTAATAAGATAAAAAAAACGTTACAATAGTCCAATGTCGATACTCTGGTAATSCACAAGAGCTGAAAATGAATCGTGGAACCAAAAGGATTTCCTATATACTGTTTTAATCCACGGCCTGTTTTGCGTGGTTAGTAGGCCTTATCTCATAATGACGCCATATAGTTTGAGTATTAAGAAGTGTGGTTGCCTGAAGGGGATAGAATAATGACGGCAAAACAGTAAACTGCATCATAATAAAAATAGAAGAGAAYCGAGAGGTTTATAAATTTGAGGATACAAATTAAGTAAATTATGATGTATTTCGGAACCTTATGATTCAAAGTTTTGCAAATTTAACTTTAAAATCAATGGGGAAATATTTTCTCCAAATGTCATTATTTGCAAGCGAATCTATACTTCAATAATTCTGTGTGCGTCGACATATAAATACGAAAGGATAACATGTGAGCAAAACATGGCGTGGGACGTATGTAGTCCTCTTTTAATGTACGTTTTTTGTGCTTTCTTTGAAAAATGCCGTTATCTTTAAATATCTGCATCGCGAAAAACGAATCAATAAAAACAAGAGGACATTAATACGGCCACTCCGTTATAACGACCACATTTTTCGTTATCCCTTCGGTTACCGGAATAACGAGGTTCTAGTGTAGTTAATTTCCCATAATGCATTGCTGCAGTAAATAGAAAAAAAAGAAATCATTTTTATGCATTATCTATGATTGTTGATAAGATGTGCTAGAAAATGTAGTTGGATAGCTGAGAAAATAGTTTATCTAAAAACAATTCAACATCATTGGCTGAYGCAGCACTTCTAGTTTCTTATCACTAAATTATTTAATGTTATCCTTCAAACATARTCCAACCTCGAAATATTACTAGATCTATTATATTATAGATAACAACTAAGTCTGTCATTATTTATAATGGTAATATAGCACGCAAAGACGATTATGTTTCGGAAAAGGAGGGAAATGACGTCATAAGCAGTATTCTCTACTCAAGCTAGATTTTCAAATTGAGTACGTGCGTCCGGCGTTTCGATTTCACCTTCACAAGTCTCGCGGAAATTCATCTGCCAATCTTTATTTGAGATGGTTGCGGTATATGTGATTGGGATGAAAGAGTGAAAATTAATGTGCTTTTTGTTTACCTATCAAATACGACAACTTTTCAGATTCCGTATCATTATCAAGATAGCAGCCACGATTCTATAAGATTGTATTTGAGGAGATGCCAATGAAACTTTATGTGATTTAGGCTTTTTTATCTGTTTTCTTTAATTTGTGCTCTGTAGTTCGCTTGAAATTGTCGGTAGTAATGGCTTCGCTAACTTAGAAACTTAGAGAGAGCTAAATCCATAAGCTAACAATTGAATGTTTAATTTAGAGTAGAGTGTTTTTTATTAACCTGTGAATCAAAGTATACTATTCAAACTACAACTGCGATACACCGAAAGAGTGTAAAAAAAAAGTGCAAAATGAAGATGAACAAATTGAGAACGCTTGTATGTATTTCACGGAATTATGAAAACTACTCCGAGCCCCGTGAAATACACTTTATCGAGTATGTTGTATTTTATTTCTCTTCAGTTTTAGTTGCAGGTGTAGTTGCCGTGAATCTTCACATTAACACACTTCCATTATAKGATTTTGTTTCTTGGAACTTTCAGTTGTCGTTTATCTTTCAACTATTTTGGACAAAAATACTTAAACAGCGGTTATTTTGATCGGACTCYTCTGGAAAAAAGACTCTTATCTAATTGATCGACTCTGAACATGACCATTGCACTGACACATTAAGTTTTATAATAAGTGAAGAAACCCTTCGCTTAATCTTTTTTCTAGTGCATTCTGTTTGATCAAAAGTGGGAAAAATTCTGAAAATTTCAAATGTGTAGCAAGTTCAAGTACATGCATGCGCGAGAAACAAAACTTGCTTAGCTGCTATTCCATCAGGACAAAAACTCTATAGACTACGTGTGACAGGCTCATGTACTGTACATGCATACGCAAAAAAAACCTTCTTAGCCGCTATTCCACTGTTGCTGTGATGTAAATCACTCTAGCAATTTCGCATAGGTTCAATTTCGCATACGGTCCAAGTGCTGTCGCGCGCTTTTTATTTGGCCTTCAGTACAACAAAGTGGTTTGCAGAACAACTTATTTTTACTTACTAGTAATTTCCTGCWGCGTATCTGTGTCAGCTGTGATTTCTACCTTGATATGTTTCAGATAGTTTATCTCAAAGATGTGTTTTTTTAAGGCTGTGCTTTTGAGGTCCAGACTTGTTCAGATATTTTTGCCTGGTCGAGACTGAACGCTTTATCAATTGAAATTGTTTCGTTGGAAATCTTTGCGYTTTAATGCTCGCTTGGTGCTTATTAAAATCTTAGACGACGAATCGGAAGTTTTGTGTGGACAATGATGCAATTTGTGATYGTTATCTGATTATAGTAGTACTTGAAAGTCTCTTAATTGATATTATTTTAGCTCGCTTCTTACTGGAAGAAAGCGTTTTGTGACAACATCGCAACATCTGCTGCAAACACGATTAGACAGAAAACGCTACCGAAGAAGATAAAAAGCACGCACTTAGCACTAATTTCAGCGYAATATGACACTATGATTTTCAATCGTTGGAAGCGGATCACATTCTGTAAAATACACCTGTCAATCAACTCTCGTTATACCGGACAACCTCGCGCAAATGTGTGTTCGAAATAGAGTATATCTGCTATAAAAAGAGAATTGTTTTTCGATAATCTCTTTAATCTACCAAGTCCCTTTTTCATTTAAAGCGCACCATATACTTCTGGCTACAATAGAAGAGTGTCAAGAAGAACTTGTATGCGCATGTGATGAGTGTGATCAGGTCACTATGCTGGTTGATTTCGTTTTTCTATGCGCATGTCCTCTAAAGTCCCGTTTACACTTTTGCAAAGCGGCGAACGTCGCGCGACCATCGCCAGAGTTTCAAACATGCTTGAAAATTGGTTTCAACTTCGCAGCGATTTTTCATCGCCGAAACAATCGCAAGGTTGTTTGCAGGTAAGTTTTGAGTTACGCGATAGCAAAGTGGCGATTATCGAGCTGCAAAAATCGCAAGTGTAACGGACCTTAAAAGATACATAGATGACGTCAAAATATAATGAAAATAAAAATAATACAACAATCGTACTTCGTCTCATGTTTGTTCTCGCCGCATTTTGACGTCATCTGTGTGACGTCATCTTTGTATCTATTAGAGTACAGACGCAAAGAAAAAAAGGAATCTATATTGTTTACATAATAATCTAATATAACATAGATAATATAATATGTCGTCGATGTCCAAAAATATTAGTGAGAGTCTAATCAAATACATTTTCAACTTTKGAAAAATAATTGTGAAGACAAAGTACCAATCATTYGTTACAAAAATATTTTGATCATGCTGTGGTATTGGCATATTACCGACCCCAGAGGCAAATCTTATCCAGCATGGATGTTTGCTTGAAAAATGTTATAATTCTTAAAACATAAACACAAAAACTTCAAACATATCATAACTTCGTTATTTGACCAAATAAATAAATTAAAACAAGCTGAAGAAAAAGAAAAGAAGGAAAAAACAACAACAACAACAAGAAAAAAGACCGATGTTTTCTAAACTAGTCATCAGCGAAGAGTCGCACAAAAAATACCGATCAATCAAATTCTAAAATTAAAATGTAAGTTTTGCTCGTGTGTTATTGCCAAATTTATCAATAATACAATGATAACACAACAAAAATAGAATAAAAATCTTACATAAACTAATTATRTCTTGTTGCATGAACAGCTTTTTTAAATACGTTTGTTGTTGATCGAAGACTGAAGAAAAAGCTATATTGGCATCATAGTGAAACTATATATTATTTATTTACTAATTATTATTTTTTTTATAAGTGATTTTCATTAGTATAGGTAATAGCATGTTTTGTAGTGGTATTTGGGATAAATACCACGCGTGATATTTCAAAATTGTCAAACAAAATTTGTKACAAATTTTTAAATATTACAAGTGGTATTTATCCCAAATTCCACGTACAAAACATACTATTATTTGTTTATAAAATGGTTGAATAAAATTGTGCAATTTGAAATACCACTATTAAGGATAAATATCACTCCTCTAAGCCAATCAAATTGCACAATTTTATTCAACCATATTATAAAGCAGGGGAATACACTTGAGGGTGCTTTACGTTTTTGCTCTTCACTTTGCACGTTTTTAATCGTCTTTTTCTGTGAATTCAACCTTATTACAATTTGGTTTTTACATTTTGTTTCACATCTTAATGAATGGAAACCACTTTAATTCCAACAATGCATTGATATCGAATTGTAACATTCAATAGCTTAGTAAGTGATAGCATGCATTTTTGCTTGTAATGAACACACGAGACTTTTTCCCCACTCAAAAGAAAATACTGTTCATTGATGTCTAAAGCGAGCGTCAAAAGACAGACGAAGTCTAGATCTGTAAGACTTACTAATACACTAAAACCAGGGGCGGATTTATGGGGCAACCCACCATATTGCTAAGGAAACATTAAAAGACCTCGAAATATAAACTAACTCTCAAAACAATTTGCATATTTTTTATTTGCTTTTTCGAGTTTTGAGGAAGCAAAGTCAAATTTCCGCACAAATGTCAACGGCCACCCCTTTCAAAATTGATGAATCCGCCCCTGAAAACTCTGCAGAGTATATATACTGTTTTTTTTTTGCTTCTATGTTCTCCGGCAAAGATTACAACATTGTTAACCTACTGACGTACATCTTAGGGGCTTAGAAACTTTGTCACTGTCATGTGAGAACTACCAGAAATAAACATTTTTGGAAAGTTTTACAGCCCTGGATAAAATGCGTACAAAATTTATGGCCAAATGAAAATACAAGAAATGTATGTAATTTTCAGCCAAAGCCTTTATAGCCTTGTTCTGGTGTTATGATATATTT